GGGATCAAATTCCAGAACCTTTCTGGGAAGCAGCTCATGGGGGCCCTGCTCTCATTAAAACTGATGGAATCTGGGGACATTCCAGAGGTGCTGATGTCCAAACAGTCTTAATTTTATCCTTTACTCCTCTAAACAGCCACGGGAAAATCCTAAAAAAACTCTGGGATAAAGAGCAGGAAAGCAGAAGGGCAGCAGGTGTGCCAGAACAATATCCCAGTATTTTTATTTCTTTAAAAACCAATTTAAAAGGCAACAAAATTCATTTATTTCCCAGTCTGACTTTCTTCCTTCTATTTTTATTCCTTAATTTTTTTTTTTTTTAGCAGCCACTCCTACAGTTCACACACCRTTTTTAAAGCCGTAATCCAGAGGCACTTCCAGCAATCCTGGCCTTAAATTGGATTTCCCTGGAGTGCTTTTTGTTCGGGGAAAAGCTTTTGTGCTGCTCTTGAGCACAGGTCATTATTTTCTATTTCAACCGACAGGGAATCCCACCCCTCGGAAAAAATGAACTCCGAGGATGCTGTTCCCATTTCCCAGAAGGTGAAAAAATCACACAAGCGTAGCCAAATGGAATTAAAAATGTGTTGTGTTTACGATGGAAAAGGAGGAGGGATCCGATTAAAGGTGGAGAATTTGCTCAGGAGGGAATAAATGGAACAGGAATTTCAGGGATGTGGTGGAGTCCCCATTCCCAGAGGGATTTAAAGCCCCTGGATGTGGCACTTGGGGACAGGGGGCAGAGGTGGCCTTGGCAGCGTTGGGAATGGTTGGAATTGATGATCTCAGAGGACTTTTCCAACCTCARCAATTCCATGATTCCATGATTTCCATCACACTGACACCCATCCCAACTCTTCCAATTACCCAYCCCAACTCTTCCAATTACCCATCCCAACTCTTCCAATTCTCCTGACTTAAAAACCCGGAGAACATTCCTCTGGCTCTCCCTGATTCCCACTCTGATGTGCAGAGGTTATCCAGAATTTTTCTCTTACTGGATGGAGGAGCCACCTTGGAATCTGAGAATCCTGGAATGTTTTGGATTGGAAGGGACCCTAAAATCCCATCCCATTCCAACAGGGACACCTCCCACTGTCCCAGGCTGGCCTTGGGCACTCAAAGGGATCCAGGGGTGCAATTCCATCCCAGATCATTCCCACCCTCCCAGCCAGCAATTCCCAATTCCCAAGATCCCATCCAAATCTTCCCTTTTCCAGTTTAATCCATTCTCTGTCCTGTCCCTCCATTCCTTGTCCCCAGTCCCTCTCCTCTTTAAAGTCAGATGTGGGTGCTCAGCAGCCACAAAAAAAAAAAGGAAAACATCATAAAAAAAATCACAGAGATGTTTCATCCATGGAGTGAACACAGACAGCAAAAGCACAGTGAGATTAAGACGCGAAAATTTAGAGAAATTTAAAGGGAAAAAATAATGAACACAGACAGTGAAGGCACACTCTGATAAAGACACAGAAATTTAGAGAAATTTAAAGGGAAAAAATTCCCCTGAGCCCTGCTGATGCTTTGAGACAACTGGACATTCCTTTCTGGGTGAGTTTAGGGGATTATTGTCCGATTTTAGGATTGGGGTGCACCTGATGGAAGATGGGAACTCCATCCACCAAATGCTTCTCTTGCCTGCCTCAGAAATTTCTACTTCCAGAAAATTCCCTTCTCTCTTCAGCTGCTGTGCAAAAATCCTGACCCACAATTACAAAATGAGCCAGAGGAGAGAGAGAAGTGAGGGGAAATGCTGGGAAATAAATTCACAAAGTCAATCCAAACCGTGCTTTCTTCTCATCTCTCACTCCTCGACCCGGCATCACTTCCAGCAGAGATAAATCCAAGACAAATAAATATATTTTTCCTCTAAAGGAGAGTTTTTCCCATTTCACAGAAGTCATAAAGGGGAAATCACAGCACTGGGGTTAGGAAGGAGCAGAGCTTCATTCATTTAATGGGTTCTCCTCGTTCAGGTCCCTTCTCAGCATTAACAGATCCACAGAGCAGAGAGGAAAATGGAGAAAAGAAAAAAAACACCTCGAGTGTTTTAATGAATCTTTGTTCAACATCTCGCAGCTCCCAGGCATCGTCTTCTATAAATAAAAACATGAGGGGACGTTGTGATGATTATTATTGTGCCATGACTCACGGAATTTGTGTCTGCAGGGATTTGAGAATTTGGTTTCTCCTCTGGAATCGCTGGTGCTGTCTGCTGGGTCAATTAAATACTGAGTTGGTTGTTTTTTCYACTCTTTCTCTCCTTTTTCCTTATTCCAATCTGATTTTCAGTCCCACCTCTCCTTCCCAACCCCATCCCAATGTTAATCCCACAAATCAACATTCCCAGACCGAGGAATGACAACAAAACCCCGGAGCCAAATTTCAGGAATTCAAATGCAAACACGAGATTCCAATTAAATCCGGGTGCTGTGGATCCAGGCTGATCCAGAGCTCCCTCCCTGACCCCCAGGACAGAAATAATCCCTAATTCCTCATCCTGCTGGAGAGCAGGAGGTGTTGGATGATGAGATGTGAGGAGAGGTGGTGGCTCTCATGGAATGTTCCCCCTTATCCATGGATTTTTCCTGAGGCTGATTAATCACTCGTTATTATTTCAAGTTCCTGTCACTTGGGGTTGATGTTTCACCGCCATTCCCAGATTAAATTATGGAAAATGAGGTTGGTGGTTTGGTTCAGGGAGGTGAATCCTCTCTGMTGGTGCCAATCAGCCATTCCAGCTCTGTATCCAAACCAACTGCCCACGGCCCTGGCATTTTCCAGAAGGGGATCCAGGAGCAGGGAGAGGTTCCCTCCACCTGGCAGCAGTCGCTGTGCAAGCCCTCCCCTCCTATTTTCACCTCAGACAGACATTTTCCCTGCTTTTTCCTGGAATTCAAGCACACGGATCAATCTAAAGCTCCCCCCAATGAGGGCAAATTCCCAGCCTGGATTTCAGCTTTGGAGGATGATGAGAAGGAAGGGGTGATGGAGTCAGTGACAATTCCAGGAATCTCAGAGTGCATCCCAAAGCCTTTGGTGAGCATTCCCTCCCTCCTATTTTCACCTCAGACAGACATTTTCCCTGCTCTTTTCTGGAATTCCAGCACATGGATCAATCTAAAGCTCCCCAGGAGGTAAATTCCCAGCCTGGATTTCAGTACCAGCTTTGGAGGATGAGGAGAAGGAAGGGGTGATGGAGGCAATGACACCTCCAGGAGCTCAGGGTGCATCCCAAAGCCTTTGGTGAGCATTTCCTCCCTCTTATTTTCACCTCAGACAGACATTTTCCCTTCTTTTTTCTGGAATTCCAGCACACGGATCAATCTAAAGCTCCCCCCAATGAGGGCAAATTCCCAGCCTGGATTTCAGTACCACCTTTGGCAGATGAGAAGGAAGGGGTGATGGAGGCAGTGACAATTCCAGGAATCTCAGAGTGCATCCCAAGGCCTTTGGTGAACATTCCCTCCTCTTATTTTCACCTCAGACAGACATTTTCCCTGCTGCTTCCTGGAATTAAAGCTCACGGATCAATCTAAAGCTCCCCCAGGAGGCAAATTCCCAGCCTGGATTTCACCACCAGCTTTGGAGGATGAGGAGAAGGAAGAGGTGAGGGAGGCAGTGACAATTCCAGGAATTCAGGGTGCATCCCAAGGCCTTTGGTGAACATTCCACACAATCATGGAATATCCTGAGCTGGGAGAGTCCCACAGGGATCATCCAGGACACCAAACCACCCTCATTCCACCTCAGAGCTTTGATCCCAACACAAGAGCTCCGGAAGCCTTGGAATTCAACACTAATCCATCCCATAACTGGTTAGACATGACCAGAAATTTCAGAATGAGAGAATCACCAAGGTTGGAAGAGACCTYCAAGATTTWGTCCAAACACAACCACTTGGAAACACGGGACACCATCACTGCTGAAATTTGAATATTGAACATTGAACGCTGAACGTTGAAGGTTAAACTTTGAATGCTGAAGGTTAAACTTTGAATGTTGAAGGTTAAACTTTGAATGCTGAACACTGAATGTTGAATGTTGAACAGTGAACATTGAATATTTAGTGCTGAAAGTTGAACACTGAACATTCAACATTGAATATTGAACATTGAAAGTTGAACACTAAACACTGAGTATTGAATATTGAAATTTGAACACTGAACATCGAATATTGAACATGGAAAGTTGAACATTGAACACTCAACACTGAAAGTTGAAGATTGAATGAACATTGAATATTGAACATTGAAAGTCGAACACTGAACACTGAATATTGAACATTGAAAGTTGAATACGGAACATTAAATGTTGAACATTGAACGTTGAATTTTGAACTTTGAACATCAAGTGTTGAATGTTAAATTGCGAGTGCTAAACATTGAACATTGAACTTTAGATATTGAAAATTGAACATTGAACATTAAATGTTGAAAACTGAACACTGAATGCTGAAAATTGAACACCAAATGTTGAACACTAAATGTTGAAAATTAAACATTGAACTTTGAAAGTTAAATGCTGAACATTAAATGCTGAATGTTAAACTTTGAATGCTGAATGCTGAACATTGAATGTCAAATGTTGAAAATTGAACAGTGAATGTCGAATGGTGAATATTGGAAATTGAACAGTGAATGTTGAATGGAGAATGTTGAAAACGGAACAATGACTGTTGAATGGTTAATGTTGAAAATTGAACAGTGAACATTGAATGTTGAACACTGACAATTGAATGTTGTCCATTGAATGTTGAATGTTGGCCATTGAACATTGAATGTTAAACACTGACCACTGAATTTTGAACAGCAAATTTTGAACATTGCCATCCTGCCACATTAGGATTGGAATAACATTCCAAGAGAAAAGTGAAYGGTTTTCCAAGTGAACTCACCTCTTACGATGATGTTGGTGGACTTCTTTGCGGGATTGCCGACGTTGTTGTTGGCGATGCAACTGTAGGTGCCGGAATCCTCGGAGGTGATGGCGGGAATGGTCAGAGTGCCCCCATTCARGACTGTTTTGTTGGGCAGGACCCCCGCAGACCTCACCCAGGTCAGGCTGGGCGCCGGCTCCCCCCCGGTGGTCACACACACCAAGGTGATGGCTTCTCCGGGGTTCACCACGATGGGGTCGTCCACGAGGAGCTTGATGGAAGGGGATGCTGCAAACA